TTTCTCTAGGAGGTGTGTCAAAAAGTATCTTGCTGTGATTTATGTCATAGAGTGTTCTGCTTATGTTTTCCTCTAAGAGTTTTATAGTGTCTGGCCTTACATTTAGGTCTCTAATCCATTTTGAGTTTATTTTTGTGTATGGTGTTAGGGAGTGTTCTAATTCATTCTTTTACATGTAGCTGTCCAGTTTTCCCAGCACCATTTATTTTTTATTTTTTATTTTTGCAGTACGCAGGCCTCTCACTGTTGTGGCCTCTCCCATTGTGGAGCACAGGCTCTGGACGCGCAGGCTCAGTGGCCATGGCTCACGGACCCAACCGCTCTGCGGCATGTGGGATCTTCCCGGACCGGGGCACGAACCTGCATCCCCTGCATTGGCAGGCAGACTCCCAACCACTGTGCCACCAGGGAAGCCCTGGTAAGTTGCATTTTTCAAGGAATTTGTCCATTTCATCTAAGTTGTTGAATTTGTTGGCATAAAGTTGTCTGCAGGATCTGTAGTGATAATCTCTTTTTAATTTCTGGTATTGGTAATTTGTATTTTCTCTCTTTGTAGTGATCAGTCTTCCTATCAATTTTGTCCATCTTTTCAAAGAACAAACCAACTTTTGACCTTGTTAATTTTCTCTATAGTTTTCTACTTTATTGATTTCTTTTATTATTGCTTTCCTTCCACCCTTTATTATTGCTTTCCTTCCACTTCACTTTACTTTGCCTTTCCTTTTATAGCTTCTTAGAGTGTAACCTTAGGCCATTGATTTCATCTTTTTCCTCTTCTTTTCAAGCATTTAAAGCTATAGATTTGCCTCTAAGGACTGTTTTAGTTGCATCTCATAGATTTTGATATATTGTATTTTCACTATTATTCAGTTCTTGTGATTTCTTTGATCTGTTGATTATTTAGAAACGTGTTGTTTAATTCCAAAACATTTGGGGCTTTCCTAGGTATTGTACTGTTATTGGATTTAACTCCATTGTTGTCAGATATACTCTGATTTCAGTCCTTTTAAATTTATTGAACCTTATTTTATAGCTCAGCATATGGTTTACCTTGGTGAATGCCCTTGAAATGAATGTGGACTATGTAGTGGTTGGATGTAGTATTTCATAAATATCAATTAGGTCAATGTGGTTGATAGTACTGTTCAGATCATCTATGTCATTTATGTATGAGCTTAGTGTTTCAGTCTATTGTTCTATCAATTATTGAGAGAGTGGACTTAAAATATCTAATGATGATTAAAGAGTTGTCTACTTTTAATTCTCTCATCTTTTGATTTATATATTTTAAAGTTTTACTATTATATGAATACACATTTATGTTTGTTATGTCTTCCTAATGAATTGATCCTTTTATCTCTATGAACTGGTTTTAATTATCGCTAGTAAAACCCTTGGTCTTGAGGTCCCTTTTACCTGATATTAATATAATGGTTCCAGTCTTCTTATAATTACTAGTTTTCCCACCTCTCTCTATTCACATCCATTTACTTTCAACCACTCTGTTGTCTTTATATTTAAAGAATATCACTTGTAGAAGCCTGCAGTTGGCTCTTGCTTTTCTATCCATTCTGACAATATCTGCCCTTTAATTGTAGTGTTAGTACATTTATGTCTCTCATTTTATTATCTGTTTTCTGATCGTCGCCTTTGTTTTTGGTTCCTCTGATTTTCTTTTCTGTCTTCTTTTGGATAATTTGAATATCTTTTAGAGATTGATTTTAATTTATCTATTGATATTTTTAGTTATACCTTCTTATATTTTTAAAAATTTTAGTAGTTGTGCTAGGTGTTAAAAAATGTACATTCTTAACTTTTCACAGCCTGCTTAGAGTAAATAGTTTACCACTTCATGTAAAATCTAGAAATCTTGCAACCATGTATGTCCACCATCACCACTCCACTTATGTTATAGTTTTTATATATAGTATATCAACACGTATCATAAACCCCACAGGAAAGTGGTGTTTGCTTTTAAAAGTCTTATCTACTTCTAAGAAATAAGAGGATTTAAAAAAAATATTTACCAGATACGTATCATTTTTTGAGGCTCTTTATTTCTTCCTGAAGATCTAAGTTTCCATTTGGTATCACTTTCCTTCAACCTAAAGAACGTTTTAAAAGATCTCTTGCAGTGCAGGTGTGTTAAGTATGAATTCTATTAGTTTTCTTTGATCTGAAAATGTTCTTATTTCACTTATGATCTAGAAAGGTATTTTATTTGGATTTATATCTGAGTTCTGAGTTGAAAATTCTTTTTCTTTCAGCATTTTAAAGGTATTATTCTACTGCCTTCTCATCTCTGTAGCTTCTGATGAGAAATCAGTGGTTATTTGAATCGTTGTTCTACTGTA